ATAAATAAACAATTATTTTATTTAGCATCCATTATTCTATGGGTAATTGAATTAAATCACCATTAATTTGGAATTAAATAAATATAAAATATGGCCACTTTAGTGACTAACAAATTCATCATACAATTAATTTCAAGTAAATAAAAATTTTACCAGTCCCAATTTAAAGTCATTCATGAATTTCATAAAAGAAAGTAAAATAAAACTTCATACTTTAGAAATTGAGAACATTGAAATTCTACGTTGAAATACATGAAGGTAACATGCGCAGTCACAAATTCCAAAATTTAATTAAAAGGAAAAATCAATTATTTCCAATTTGAAATATTAATTTCTACGTTGAAATACATAAGGGTAGAATGCGCAGTCACGAATTCCAAAATTTGACTAAAAGGAAAAAATCAATTCTTTCCAATTTGAAATATTAATTCATGCATTTCAAAAAAGGAAACTTTCTTTCAATCACTCGATTTCATGAAAATAATTCTTTTGCGATTGCCATTAGGATTTCGATAATGTGGGATTTAATATATTGATCATAATTTAAAATTAAGAATTACATTCATGATCCAAAACAAACAACATGCAGCGGAAAATTAAACATAATATTGCAACAATGACCTTGATAGAATTATTCCACTTCCGATGGTACTCAAAGGATCAAATATAATATTCGTTTATTTATCTATCCTTTTTCTTTTCACTTTTCATAATATTTTCCCACTTCAGGTGAAGAAAATATTCTTTTATTTTCATTGTCGTACAATTATCTCACTTCGGGGTGAGAAAATATCCTTTTATTTTCATTGTTGCACAATTATCTCACTTCTAGTGAGAAAAAAATATTCTTTTATTTTTCATTATTGTACAATTATCTCACTTCCGGTGAGAGAAAAAAAATTGCTTAAAATTTCTTAATTTGACAATGTCTTCTAAATCATTGCAAAATCGTTATATATGTATATATATATAACATTCATGGAGAATTATACAATTTTACAACACATATCATTCACGGAGAATCATTCAATTTCAAAACCATGTTCTGATACCACATGTAAGTTCTATGATTTTCTAATACATCAATTATAGAAAATTAAATGATCTTTGAAATTCATGATACTCACATAATAATAAGAAAGTGTTTCTCCATAGTAGAAAACTCCTTTAATCCTTAGAGTACTTTGATCTTCTTGAAGAGAACCAAGATTTCACTCCCTTTGACTTTTCTTTCTACTCTCTCTATCTTTCGTGATGGCTAGGGTTTGAGAGAATACTTTCTGTCAGGGTGTGTACCTTGTCTCACATTAGTGGATATTTATAACCCCTAAAGATTGTTATTTCCATCAAATAATCATTATTATCATAAATGCTCCATTAAACTCATTTATGATTTAGTCTTTAATTATTTAATTATTTATTTATTAGTCCCTTTATATATTACATATTTCCCACATGAGACATAATTATCTTACATATTCATGTAAAATAACATATAAAAATAGAGAAAAATATTTTCTTCCTTGAAATTCTTATTTATATCTCGACAGTTCCTCTCTTTACTCCAACAACTGATATCTTATATAAGGTTAGATTTCACCTCATAGCAAATGAAATGATTAAAGAGTAAAAAAGAGAGAGAGAAAAAGAAGAAAAAATGGAAGAGAAATGTATGACTCAAATTAAAGATGATTGGATGAGAAGAAATAAATACTTGAGAAAATATAAGAGGTGATTGGATAAAGAGAAAATGAATATATGATATAAATAATTTTTAACGAGAGTTTAACAACAAATAAAAAACATTCATTTTCATTGTTTCAATTGAAAAGTATTAACATCTATATAATAAAATAAAAAAAGTCCTTGTAATAAATTGTAAAAGAAGAGAAACATGTCACATGAGAAATATATTTGTTTAAAAGAACCTATAATCTCTAAAAATCTAAAATGACAATATTATAACTTACAATTCAATCTTTATATTATATTATATATATATATATAGAATAATAAGATTATATAATAAACTTATTTAAAATTTCTTCATCACTATTATTTATTTTTGTCACCAATATTATCATTATTATGAATATTTTAAATTAAGGGTTGAGATATGTCTGTTATATACCGAAAGGAAACGGGGGAGACTATCTCGAGTTGTTTAAAAAAAATTGTACGTATACGTAAAAAAAAAAACATATATAGCTGAAAGCCATAGTCTTCTAGTTTATCCAAGGGGCATGGAAGGAATAAATTAATCAACATCCAGGATATCTGGAAAACTATAATATAAGTATATCGATCTGTAAATACTCTTAAATGCTTAATAAATAAATAAATAAATAAAAACTGAACTAGCAATATTTAACCCCTTAAATAACATAAACAGCAAGGGTACACAACTACAAAATGTTTAATATATAAAATGGAATTTGTATATAAGTTAATAAGGAAAAGTATGATAGGATTGTAGGAGCTTGTTAGGTTTTGTCGTGGGAAATCGGAGTATAAACAAAGGAATAACATCACCAAAGCTGGATTGTTTGATTAAGAAGAGGCACGTAATCAGAAATCGCGTACAAGTTTTGGTCTTTATCAAACACAAAATAAAGAGAGACAAACAAAGGTGCCAACACTCCAAAGTCTTAGTCTCAAAAGTGACGTCCCAATGTCGGATTTTGTTTTCTAAAAGCAATTCAAACTTAATTGTCAAAAGAATATTTATCTTTTCAAACTCTTTATTTAATTTCAACCTAGCTAGCTCCATCAAGTGCAATTTAATTACTCTCGAGTCTCGTGGACTACAACAAAAGTTACAAATCAAAAAATAAATATTCTAAAGCTCAGTAATGTCCCTCCCATGCATCAAAAATAGGAAAATAACCACTGGACACCTTAACGTTATTCAACTCTTAAAAAGAAAAAAAAAATACATGTATTGATAATATAATTTAATAAGAGAAAAATATAAAAGAAATAATATATACTAATAAGATATCTAGACATAAAGCTATTGTCCATATATATATCATTTCTCTTCAATAACTTTTTTAAAAGCAAAAACTTATCTGTATGCCGTCGTAATAGTTGTTATGCTTTTCCCAAGATCCTTAACAAATGGGTAATACTAGTTTATTTATCACCTTCAATTGTGAACATTGAGAGAGATTATTCGATCATGATTTGGTAACCAAAACAAAAGTGTCCGAATGAAAGTTTCCACTATTTGGAATTAGAATGACTTACGTTTTGGTGCGGTACAGAGTCAAACACACTCATATGCCTCGTTATGGCGACACATATTCTGGAATTCCACGATAACCTCTTTCTTTTTAAACTCATATACAATTAGTTTTATAATGTGTTTAAATTAATTTTAGTCACAAATATGTGCATAACGTGACAAATTCATTTCTGATATAAAGTAAACATGCCTTGACCCATTATATATTTTACTATTAATGAGTGTTTAATTTATGAATACAGTATGTTGTTGTTTTCACAAAATAACTCTTTTTGTAATTACTGTTTATTCTAAGCATGAAACTATTACATGTGATAAATAACAGGTTAACAATGACAAATTGAATATACCATTAAATACGTGCAGAAAAATAGACAATGACTCATCATATATTCATGACAATTGATAGATCAGAACATTCCTTTCATATAAAAAAGAAAATGATATGAGCTAATATAAATTAAAAAGTCAAAGTCACTATTGTGTGAGTAAAATTATTTAATAGATCACATGTTAATTCTGTTTGAGAATACTATAGATGATTCGGCTGGTTTTATTAGAAACGTGATCAACTTATATATTCAGAAAGAAACTCTCTTAGATTTTCAAAAGTTATACTAAAAATGTTGATTTTGATATATATATATGTGTGTATTTAATATTTTAGAGTTAGATAAGTGCTAAAAAATTTAATGGTTTTTATGTTCATGAAAAAAGTTTCAGATAAAATTAAAGTTAACAAAACTTTTTTATTATTTAATATGATTGTATATTCAAAATTCAAATTTAAGATTATTAATTAAACCAAATATGGATTATTTCACTGCTTTGTTAAAATGATTTTGAAATAAGATTGAGAAGAATTGAATAATAAAAGAGAAATACGATTACTTGGATATTTGAATGACTGAGGAACAGGAAGTAGAATGAATTGAATGAAAGGAAGGTGAGTCCACATGACAATTTCTGACAAACATCGGCACCAATGTGTTTGTTGCATCCCAGAGGTCCAACAGCTTGCGTGAAGTTGAGGTGCCCACGTGGTGATTGGCATGCCACTTCACCCCGAGATGTCGACCTCCACGTGGATTGGTCCTTTCCTTTCTTTTCTAAGGCAACTACGCGACAAAGTCCTACGTAGCCATTCCCATGATGCATTGTATCAGTATTACTATTATCATCTCACTTTCAAACCTTCATAACTCTCACAATAATAATGCCATCCTTATTGCCTAATTCATGCTCTTCCATGTCCTAGTGGCTTGCAATTTCAGAAACACAATGCAATTAATAGACCTACTTATGTCAAATGTAACTAACCTATCATCACTACTCTCTACACGACAACTCGTCTTATCATATTTAAGTCTGCAATTGGACATTTCTCTAGATGATAGGATCAAATACTAACATCAGCTTTAGTTTTTATAGGCTAATTAAATTTCAAACAGCATGTTTCAATTTTGATTCATAACAATTGTTGGATCAGATGTCAACCAATACCGATAAGATCTGAGTAATTGAATCCAATGTTGCTCGGCATTTAATATGTTTCGGTTTGGTCTAATAATAAATACTTGGTCTGACAAGTGGTATGACAAACAAACTAGAGTTCATCCAACTGACTTAACCAAATTATCTTCAAACTACTGATTAGTTAACTATAAATTTTGATCTATTGTGGTGAATAAATTAGTCTTCATCTTAAATATATATGTGGTGAACAAATAATTAAGTCTTCATCGAGCTTTTATATGTATAGCTAGGATATATAAGATGACTAAACTAAAATTGGAGTCTTCTTCCTACCTAGCTAGCTAAAAGAAGTAAAAAACTTTTGGTGATGAGAGACGGAGGCTATGCTATCAAGCTTGGAAATCAGCATATATATCATCGATCAGGTAGTCTACTAGAAAAGACAGTATCCAAAAGGCGACGAAATGAACATTGAAAAAACATGGTCTTGTACTCTTGTTGCACAGAAGTGAACGAGACAGAACACAAGTCTGGCATCATGGAAATTTGCAAACATTGTAGAGACGAGAAAAAGAATAGTACAAGCAGGAAAACTTGTATACGACATTATTATAGGGCTCGTGTATTCTTTTACTGTAGCATTCCCCAAAGTAAATGGAGGTTTCACATTTCATCTGCCTATCATAGACTTACTATTTTTTATCTTCATAAGATCTGTACCTTTTGTTGTTTGATGCAGTGAATATTTTAGTGCCTAACCAATAACCATTATTATCTCCTTTGTTGCTTTATATTTTGTAGCATTTAACTTCAAAACCTTTTTAAGACCTAAACTATGGCTTAAATGATTGGTGATTCAAATGATTAGCAATTTCCTTTGATATAGGGTGGCACTTTGAAGGGTGCCAGAAGGCAACCAATAAAAAGGGAAGTAGAAAACTATTAATTAAGTTGAACTTCGATGTGGGCCCCTACACGCCACTATATATATAACAAGCTTCCCTCAATCTATTCTTCATCCCTTCAACCACTCACCATTTACAATTTATTACTCAGTTAAGATCTTCTTCTAGGAAAAAAACTAAAGAAAACTCTACCCTCGTTGTTTAAGGATTCACACTGCTCATTTCTTTCCCGAGATTTTTCTTCAAAATGAAGCCTTCTTTTGTGGTCTCTCTTCTGATTTTGTCACTCCTCCTTGCAAAATCTCAAGGTATATTTAAAGTAATATGTCCAACAGCATTTCAGTCAATTAGGCTTTGTTTTTGGATCTCTAATCTTTCCTTATTTGGTGTAGGGATTCGTTTGGGAAAAGTTTCTTTAGAAGTTCAGCAACAGAAACAACATGTAGGTGATCATTACTTTGTAGTTTTATTCATTCATTTGTTTAACAAACTTCATCCTCCATTCATGCTTTCATGTCTATGGATATAATGTAAGAAGTTCATTTTACAGGAAGGAGAAAGTACTTTGTTGGAAAGAAGTAACAATGAAGCTGAAGAAACTGTTCCCTGCAAAGGCAACGAATGCACAGGTAGCCAGAAGAAAAGAGCCTCTAAAGTATCCAGAAAATCACACAACCAGTTACCAAACATTCATGAAGATTACTATGGACCTAGACGACATAGGCCTAGACACCATTAGTTTTTAAGCTAATTAGTTCATCTTTTCCTTTGTTTCTCCTCATAATAGAAACATGATTCACAATTACACAGTTGACCGAGTATTACTTAGTGCAAGTTGTCCCATAAACTCCTCATGGCTTCAAATTTTGTTGCTATGCATAAAAATGCTAAACTTCATTCTTGTTCATTTTGTTTTATGTTTAATTAAAACATGGCAAAATATATTCAATTACATACAAGCATCATCAAACAAACTTGATGAGTACAAACCCTCTTTTTATATGTATAAATCATAGTATTAAACGTCTTGAATGATCTTATGTTGCTGCAGGAAAGATAAAGAATAGGAAACTCGTTACTACCTCCATTTCTGCAACTCTACCGCTCTCAAAGGTTGGTTGAGAGATAGAAAAAAGATCGGAAG